GACATGAGGACCAGGCATTTCAGACAAGTAATGGAGAGAGAGTGACCGGGCCAAGAGGCTCCCACAGAGAACTGGTGGGGCAGAGGGCTTGACCCTGAATTGACACATCAAATCCCATTTCAATTAACACACAAAACTGAGAAAACAAGTTCAGAAATTGGAAAGTAACTCAAACTTTGTAAAAACAAAAGGCAATAAAATGCAGTTGTCCCAATATTTGGATAGTTCAGATACCCTCAGCAATTCAAGGAAGCTAGGAAATTAGAAGAAATAGTTCAGCCTTGGCTAGATCATTTAGCATTTGGTTGAAAAGTCGTGATCCAATAAGAAAGCCCTTATAGACGATGAAAAAATGATGATAAGAAAGGCAAAGAAAGAAATGTGAGCTTGGAGAGCACCACCTCAACCGGGACAGACAACATGACATAGAAGGAGGCAGTCAAGAGGCCAGAGCCTAGCTTACCTGCTTATGAGTTCTGCCCCCCTGCCTAGGCCTCTTAACCTCTCTGGCCTTGTCTCAATAGTGAAGTTATAAAAATAACAAAGCTTTGCATATTGCAGAGGGCCCTTTAGCAACTGTGTGTCTTGAAGGCCAGGTAAGACTATAGTAAAGGGAATCCCTGCAAATGTCAGCCCTGCCTCTTATTGGCTGTGTGACTCACATAAGCTTAGACCCTCTAGACTTTGATTTGCTCATGTGGAACATGAGGCTGCTGCATGCCCGGATTGAACGAGCCAGGCAAAGCAAATCCAAGAACCCTGCCTTTCACACCAAAAGTATTCCACACTCAGTAATCTTTTCTTTCACCACTAATGTGATTGCAAATTTACAGATTTCTCACCGTGTGTAACAGAAGCATAGTGTTATATTTAACATGGTATTATTTCACTGGGTGATAAATATAAAGAAAAACAAGCAGAAAGAAAAGACCAGACATGGTGATGAAGCACATTGTCCCTCTTTAAATGAAGGGATTGAAAGATCAGAACTGCGAGGATTCACCCACAAAATTAACTCAACTCATGTCAGCTCAGCCAGGAGATGGCCATACGAATCTTTTTCTTTTTTCTTTTAATGAAAAACATTAGCAGTGATCAATGGCCTCCTGTCAGGTGGGAATACGGTGTCTGGTGAGTGACTATGAGAATCAGTGATGGTTCAGATCTTATCTAACATCTCCACTGAGAGGCCAAGTAATTGCAAGTTAGTAGACAATCTGTAAAGACACTCTGCAAACCTCCAGGGAGCCTCTCTAGAGCTGAGAAACTAATGGAGGAAGCCTAGAAATTTTGCAAAGGGTCCCAAAGACCATTCACTTGTTCCAAAACTGTTAATCCCTGCCTCACAGCTTTGTGCACCATGTTCTCATAGCCCAGTGAGAGACAAGGCAGGAAATCACTACGCCACAGAGAACGGAGGGCAAAGCCAAGAGCCCAGCCCGAGGGTTAGAGAAGGTCGTATTGCTCGAGTAACAGCCACGCAGAACTGAAGGACTGCTCACAGCTAAGCGTCTACAGAACAGAGCCATCATCTCCCCAAAGAACCCAGAAGCAAAACTATAAGCCACTTAATTTGCACAAGCTGGGGTGAAGATGGCTGGCTTCTTCATATATGGAGGTTCCTTTGAAATGCAGACAAATGCTGTACCTTCTCACGTCAATCTTTGTCATAAACTCTCTTCCTTGGGCTGGAGGTGGCTTGTCAGTTAGCAGTGCTTGCTGCTCTCCCAGAGGACCAGTCATCCCACAGCCAGATGTAACAGATGTAACTCCCACTCTACTGACACTTCTGGCCTCTGTGAGAAGCCTCTACAGACACACACACACACACACACACACACACACACACACACACTCACATAAATAAAAATGTGATTATCTCTTCGAAAATGGCTAAAATGTCTTCCCCCAATAATAATAATAATAGTAATAATAATGATTTTAGAACAGTTTTAAATGAATCTGTGTCTTATTAATCCCAACCGTGTCCCCTCAATAATTTAATCCCACTGTTCATAACACTTCCCTTTGAAAAATTTACTCCATCTATGTGCAAGGCATTTTTAAAATTCTAAACCATTTTTGCATATGTATGTATTGAGACCCTCCTTATATTCAACTTTTCACACCCCACCAGCCCCTGTGGTCCACATCTGGACTGAAGCCTGGAGACCACAGGACTCAGACTAGAGAAGTAGCTGGAGTCAGCATCATAGGGGAGAGGTGGGAGGTGCCAGGCAGTACAGTGACAAAAGATCATCTGTGCAGCACAGAGACAGGCTAGGAGGCAGGTTCTGAACCACAGCCATAGGGATGAGTGCAAAAAACCAGCAGCCTTGGCAAGCATTAATGACAGAATGAGTTTGACTTTGTGACCCTGGTGGTGGGGCTGGGGAAGAAGTCTCAGAAGATCCCAGCTTATAACTTGTATGACCGGCTAAATGGTGCTGTCACAGATGTTTTTATACAGACAGGTGTTGAATTGCTCTTTGTGACTTTGAAGCTTCTGTGGGGCTGCTAAATAGGGGAGCATAAATCCAAAAGAAGGGCCTCGGGAGAGAAAATAGTAATCAAAGTCACCGGTGTGGCAACACACCCCAAGAGGAGCACACGGTCCAAGGACAGTGCATGGGCCTCTGCAATTGATTGGCAGGTAAGAAAGGTCTGATTCCCATCAACAGGAAACAACATCCAGTCATAGAAGAGAAGCAAAAGGGTAGTGGGAGCCGTGGGGAGAAGAGCTCTGTAGAAAGGAGCTATGAGAAACTCAGCTCCTCTTCTCTGGTGCTTCCCCGGCCAAAGCACCATCTTACAGTGAGTCTGAGCCATAGTCTGAGCAGCAGAGGACTGTAACAGAAGGGGCTGCGCTGGGGAGGCTGACTCTACAGGGCAGCAGCTATGCAGGCAAGAAAGGCTCAAAAGTTGAGCCTCAACAGGGCTTCAGAAAGTTTTGCAGAGAAGCCAAGAATGATCTGGAGCAGAGCAGTAGCCCACAGTGACAATGAAGAGGATAACAGCAGAAATACCTTATAAATGTTGTTTTTATTTTCTCAAATGAGAGCCATACCCAAGCTATATGACTACATGACTTGGGCAGAGTCCAGAGCATTTCTTTTTCTATTCCATCTACCCCTAGGCGTACACCTAGAAGCTTCTAGTCTCCATAAAATCTAATCTTCTATAAACCCAAACCTTAAAGGCTTCTTCTTCCATCTGCTAACCTCAAGACTTACAGCTGAATAAGCTCACCCTTTCTAGCTCTTTCTGAACTCTCACTGTCTGGTTTAACTAAGCTGTTCTGGCTCAAAAAAATCCTCTCCAAACTGACTGTTTCAATCTGGCTTTTCTCGGCTTCTGACTGAATTGCTGTCCTTGGACTCATACCAACTTTACCAATATGTTCTAAATCTTCTGGCTCCTTCCCACTCTCTGGCTCGTTCTGTCTTCACCTGTGTCTAACTTGTCCTCTCTGCAACCCGCCTCTGTAAAACTGTCCCGGTAATACTGCCACACACACTGCTACCGTTGCCACCGCTCCCTCTGCTCACTCTGTGCTGCTCTTGAGTAGCCTCTCTTTCCTGGCCTGTTCTCATGAGAGCTGGGTGTATCCTACCTCTGACTCACTCTGTCAAATCTTTCTCTGATTTGTCCCTCTGTCTGCCCCTCAGTTAGACGTCACTTTCAAGCATCGCTGCTGCCCTCTATAAACTAACCTTACTTTCATTGTTTTGGATTAAAGGTATGTACGAAGGGCATGTCCATATTCCAGCCAGATCATACTGTAATCCAAGGTGTGTCTGCATTCCAGCCAGATCATACAGACCTGGAAGGTCTTCAGGTGTGATCCATTGCCAAAGCAGCCATGTCGCTGGATTAAAATTTCTCTACAGCACCTCCTGCTTGCCTGGCTCTTTATACCTCCAAAGCTCTTCTGTGCTTTTTAGTTCATCTCATTCACACTGTAGCTCTGGGGTATTCTTACAGGTGCAGAAGCTTCCAGGGCAATGCAGTTAAGAGGCTTGTCAGTCAGCCCCTAAGCTAGTGTCAGCTCCTAAAACTAGAGATTTCAGTCCAGAATCTTGTCCATGCTCCTGGCTCTACCTATACCCTACAATGAGGAGACTCAGGAGGGCCTGATCCAGAGCAGCTACTGTTAGTAGTACAGATGATTGCACATTTGCTTATCACACTTCATTCTGTGCTTCCCAGAACCCAAAGGCATCAGTACTCTGGCAGCATCTGAATCTAAAGTTTGTTACCTAATTCCTTGTATTTAATTCTACATATAAGGAGCACTGAGGTTTGCAAGCAGAGAGGTGATGTGAATTCACATATGCTGTAGAATGTTAATGGTGTTATTGGACATCTGGTTATTGAATACTTACACCACTGAAATAAAATAGTCTACAAAAGTGTAACCTGTCTGAGGCTTCTTTAGCATCTGGACCCTTCTCTGCTTCACCTGCCTTGCCACTCCAGTAAGCATACTGTCTTCACAGTGACGCAGAGGCACACCCTGACATTTGAAATCAAAACCTTCTTACATATTTGATGAAGTCAATACCGACCTCCAGTCCATTCTCCCATCCTCACACCATCCAGAGGCAGGCCTGACTGTTCAACCAGGAGTCCCCTACGTTCTCATTTATTCCTCAGTCATCCTAGCAAGAGAATGGGCTGTTCCCTCTAGTCGGCCCATCTGGGACCAGGCTTGGAGCTCTTCTCTGCCCTGCCCTTCATTGGATACAACTTATAGCATGCTTATCTCTGGAAATTCACTGCTCTATCAGCCATGGGTCTGATAGCTCTAAATTTGTCTGTCATTCATAATGGGGAAAAAAGCAAACAGGGATCTCTGTAGTACTTGATAACATTTTGGTCTCCTTATAGTTCAAATGACATCATGCAGTGTTGTCACCATGGAGGTTGATTCCTTTACTTGTCAAAGAAATTAAAGATGTAAGTTTGTGATAATGGATCCCCCATTTCTTCTGCTGTAGGTCAGTGCAGCTCAACGGCCAGCTCTTAGTGATGGTGGACGATGGGACCCTTCCAGAACTGAAGCCCCGCCCCCTGCGGGCCGGCCGGACACTGGTCATCCCTCCAGTCACCATGGGCTTTTATGTGGTCAAGAATGTCAATGCTTTGGCCTGCCGTTATCGATAAACCACCCTGTGTTCCTGAGCTGCTGGTGGGCCTGCTGGACTGCTTTCTACTCTTCCACCCTTGTAGCACCCTTATTCCTCAGACATCTTTAGCAACCAGCCTCTACTCCCATGATGCTGAGGCAACATAGACTCCCCAAAGAGACAAAACATTATAGTGTGAGCTTAGCCTAGGTAGGTGGCATCCATCCCTAAGGAAAATGTAGACATCCTCTGTTCCTATGCAAAGATAAAGGTGTGTGTTCACACACAAACAGGCTGACAGCAACTGTCCAGAGCAGTGTTTCCAAACAGCTGCCTATGGTCCTGATCAGCAGTGTAACCAGCTGCAACCCTTGGGCCCTAGCCTACTGCTGCTGCCCTCAGCAGAGGATGAGGAGGGGAAAGCAAGGTGGGAGGGCTGCTGCAAATCTAATCCTTTTTTTAAGTCCTCCTTTGTCTGTTTCCTGCTGCTGCCTTGGGTTTCCTGACACCTCTCTTCCCAGAGGGAGCAAATGGGTGAGTCAGCGCTGGCCTGCTGGGTGAGCTGTTTATATAATTTCCTGGCTGATGTATGAGTGTCTGCATCTGGGTTTCTGACAATGGCATCCATCACTGGCTGGTCCTCCGGGAAGCGGGTGCTTCCCAAGTAGAATTACAGTCATCCCCAGCATTCATAAGGCTCTGTTCCTCTGTGAATCAAGAGTCCCTCAGGCCTGGAATGGGCGTCAGGTAACAGTATTCATTGAGTGGAGAGCAATGTATTAGGCTCCACAAAAAGAAATCGTCATTCTTCATGTTGCCAGCAGGGAGGGAGTTGTAGCACAAAGAAGAAAAAGCACACGGCAACATGAAGCACGCACACACCAATCCAACCAAGCAACTTAGACTTTGCCCTCAAACTGAAAGGATTTCAAAGACTCAAGATGGTAAGCCCTTAGTTGTCTGATTGACCAAAAACCATTTAGAAGAAGGTGTGAATAGAAGTCACTGTAAACACAGGCGAACCTTTCTGCCTCCCCCCACATAGCTGAGTCTCAGTGGCATTTACTAGGAGAAATCCCATCTGGTCATTACGGATGACCAGATCCATCCTGCCCCAGCTGGATGTCCTTGAGCATGGTACGAAGTTTTTAGTTAGCTCTACTGAGGAAGAATGGGGAATTGGTCTGAAAGCAAAACTGAAAAGTGGTAGGTGGAAGGCTTCTGAGTTGGGCAGGCCGGTGGACTGACTTGGAGTTTATGACTGGGAGCTTTATTTCGCTACAGGGTATGGGAGTCTTTGGAAACAAGCTCAGTCACAATGACTTTCTGTGGACATGACTGACCTCAGGATAAGTGACATGAATGGTTCTGCTTTTAAGGAGGAAGGGGATTCTTGATAGTTTTGATGTGAACAGACAGGCCTGGGAAGCAGCTGAGGCTAGCTGCTGAGGAAAGCAGCAGGGGCATGCCCAAGATGCCTGAAGAATAGGATTTGGTCCAGTTTGCAAAGTGAGAGATAAGAGGAAGGTCAGACAAGTAAGGTGCCCCAAGATTTTCATCTGGGAGAACTAGGAATCTGGGAGAGGAAAAAGACACCTATCCTGATTCTCCATGTAAGGAAGACAGTGGGATCAGACTTTGATGTGCTTATTTTCAGCACAGGAGGAGCATCACACAGCAGGTGCATTAGGGCAAGCAGGAACAGAAGACTGATGACAGGCTGGACCTGTCAGTGCTCAGCTTGGAAGCATCTGGAGATGGCGGTTCATGAGACTGCTTACCCAGCAAGGCTCCCAGGGAGCTTCCCCTTTTAGGTACCTTCCTTGGAGGCTCCAGCACAGAGAGAAGTGCTGACACTGGAGGCAGGAAGGAAGGAAAGGAGGGACAAAGAGATGGACCAAAGTCAGAAAGAGCATGGAAAAGGGAAAGGAACCAGACAGATGGATTTTCCTTGAACATGTATCAAAATCTTTTCTAAGTACCTGTCTGGGGCAGCAGCAGGGCCCCTGGGAACAGCAAGCTAATCAGAGGCCCCTAACGCCAAGCTCTGGGCTAGTTTGCTTTGCCTATATAAAAGTCCCATAATAAAGATGCACTGTCATCCCATGCACCTGTAGGAAGGGTCCCTACGCTGCCCATCATCACCCAGTGGAATGGGTTTGTTTGAGGAATAATCCAGAACCTACTTAGTCACCAAGTTCACTGTCTCTTCATGTCACAGACTTGTCGCCCTCACCTGGTAGACTCTGCTTTCCAAGACTTCTAGAGCCCCACATTTTCTGTAAATAGGAGTTGATTTTTCACTAAGCTTAACCTCGCACTAGGTCTTTTTTTCTGCCTTTGTCTTTCTTTGTGAATTAAATGCTGCACCCAAAAGGTTGAAGTTTTGTTTGATTTTGAGCTAATAAAGGTGGAAGAGGGGAGCACTGAAATTTGTCTTCTGAGACCTGCAGTTCTGTTTTCACAAACATCTTGTGGAAGAAGTATTTTCATCCCTCAGAGGTCACCAAGACACTCACTAGAACCACAGGGCATCTGTCTTGATGCCTGGGAGAGGGGTGGGAGGAACTGATTAAACCAATGGTGTTGCTCTTCACAGGACTCTGCTTTTGCATTCAACCCCAAAGACAGTCTCTGGTAAACAGCATCACAACCCACAGCAGGGGCGCAATAGGGTGGGGCAGCTGGAGAAGAGAGGAAAGCAATCCTCCACCAGCCTCTCTGGGTCAGTTTTCCTTCATCAAGTAAGATACAGCAGAGATCATGAGAGACTTAAGAGCCCTTCATTTTAAACCAAAGAATGGGCTTGTGGAAATGCGCCTTGAAAGAGTAATCACCAATAATGAGAAGCCTGTGCCTTTTGTTGAGATGGTTTTCTGCTTCTCTTGCCTCTAGGAATGATTTTCTTTCTCATTTCTTATCACAAAGCCTCAGAATAAACTCTCATTGTTGTTGGAAGAGAAAGTCCCCATTTTTCTAATGCCCTGCAAAAAAGCTGCCACTGTGGGATATTAGTATTATATCTAGCTGGAGAAAGCCTTGAAAATATCACACTCAAGCGACTGTGAGACTAAAGACCTGAGGCTCCCAAAACCTTCTGCAGCCCTGCCCTTCCTGGCCACTTAGTAAGCCCCCAGAGGGGTGGGCTCAGAGCCCGTGCTCTCCTGAAGGACAGGGGTGGCTGAAAGGGTCTGCCTGGATGTCCTCCACCCGCTTCCAGCACCAGGGGTGAGCACGAGGGTGCCAGCATCTGCAGCCGGCATATTCTGGGTTGGACCAGCATCAAGTGTGCTCCACATGGGTGTCCTGCGTGAGCACAGGGCTCTGAGGCTCCAGGCTGTGCCACGCAGAGTAGCCTCCTTTCTGAAAACAAAAGGTCAGTACTTAACCTCGCAGAAGTAAAGGCAAACCAGGTAGGTCCCTGAAATGGTCAAAACACTGGGACACAGAGGACTTTAGTGTTTCGAGGTACAAACAGAGCAACCCAAAATGATAGTAATGTGTCCCTCTCTAAGGCAAGGAAGGAAGAGCTCCCTCCGCTGTCTCAGCAGCACTGGCTCGTCTGCAGCCTGCTGGCTGTCCCTCCCTCCGTTAGCTTACTCTCTAGTTCCACAGCCTCCTGCCAGCCACTCTGTCCCCAAGAGGAAGTCCAGGGAAATCTGCTCTTCTGAGACAGAATGAGAGCTCACTTTTAGAATCGTTTTGCGCTCTTTTCTCAGGCTCTATCCACTGAAAAGATAACGAGAACTATTCCAGAGGCAACGCTAACAGGAGTTATGGTATCTAAGGCTCAAACAATTGGAACATTTAGAGCGAGGAACTGCCGTCCCTTGTCCCTTTATGGCCTGCCTTCTTCTCATTAGTGTTCAGACCCTATTGTCACCAGGATGGCTAGAGAAGGAACCTCAATACCCACCCAGATAAACAGATTAGAACAGGCTTAGACTCAGGTCTGCTGAATTTCAAAGGTTGCCCTGAGGACACCCTACCATTAGCATGACAACAGCAACCCTTTCCTCTACTCCGCGTTGCCAGCCACTTGCTTTCTTAACACCCTTTGCGCGTCCCACAGAGAACTCACTTGCCTGCCTGGACCGAGATTGAGAAGCAGCTCGGACCGGTGGTGGATGAGGAGCGCAGTGGCCCGCCTCTGCAGTCCATGCTCCCATGGCCCTCAGTGGCCTTCCTGGTCTGTTTCTCTGGGTTTCTCTGTAGAACAGTCTAAGAACCGTTTCCACCACCCTGCCCCAGTCTTCAGAGGTGATGCGTGGTAGTTCTGCATCCTGGGAGGCGAGAGGCAGAGCACTTCCCTAGGCGCTGTCTCCCTCCCTCCACCACTCAGGTTCGGGCTCTGCACCTGCCCACAATGAACAGTAAATGGTATATCACCTAGGGGGATACTATATGCAAACAAGTGCAAAATGTGGGCTGAAACATGAAAATAAACCAACCACATTGGCACCACTTTCTTCCAAATTCCAGAGCAGCCCCTGTGAAAGCATTTGGGAGGAGCTGAGACGTTTCCATTTGACTGGCTCATTAATTCCTCCCATGGTCCTGTGAGCCAGCAGTAGAAAAGGAGTCTTTCTGACAACCCGTGTCAGGAACATTACTCCTCTAATTGTTATTCAGGAAAATACCTAGGTCTAAGTTGTAAATGTTATGTAATAGATTATATTTTGGGAGGAAGTAGAGAGACGACTTGGTTTTATTCCTCTGGAAGCTAGCGGAATGAGTGCAGGAGTCCTTGGGGAAGGCTGTCCCCCATGCAGGGATTCTAAGAGGTGTTCGCTTTGCATCCAGAACACAGGTTAGACTGCAGCTTATGCAAACCTGGTGATGGCAGGGAATTTGAATCCATGAGGTAGTTTCTATTTTAAGGTCATGTTCTGTGAGAAATAAACTGTGGCTACTTTAACTTTCTGCTGGAGGAGAGGGACGCAACAATTTTCCACACCACACCTGGACCGAAGTCCAAGCACGTAGACATGAAAACCAACACACGCTGGAGCCTTTATGTTCATGATGTTGTTTTCCTGTTCTTCTCCCAACAAGCTGTTCAAAGTAGAAATTTTACAATTCAAGTTAGATGTCACTGATTGCTAGTACTGGATGCTGTGGCCTCTCCTGGACATGTCAAAAACGTAATTTGTAAATTCAAATGGTGTGTGACTCTTCCTGGAAAGAAGTGAAGAGAATCTATTCAGCCAAGACAGGGCATCAACAACAGACCAAAGAAATGATGTCCTCAAAGTCTAGCTTAATGACCCAACAAATTCACTGGGGGGAGGGGGGAAGGGACATCCAGGAGATGCTGAAGGGCAGCTGTACCATAGAAAGCCCAACCCAGCGGAGATGACAAGCCATGAAAAGCCACCTCCCTGACACCACTGGCGTCTCCTCTCCCCGGCATTTATAACCTTGGGGAGGAACCATGGGAATCCTATAAGCTACTGAGTTTCCACGGCTTTCACATTTTGTGAGCTTGAGCCTTAGAAGGCCCTCTTCCCACCAAAAGAGAAGACTTCGGTTCAGAGGAATGCGCTACACAGCAGACTGCAAGGTGGGCAAATGGGTCGCTGCAGCATCAGAAGCCAGAATCACACCCACAGACCATGGCAGCTCTGCCCAACTGTTACTGATCACTTCAGTTGTCCAGACTCTCTGGCCCTCAGAGACCTTACCTATAAAATGAGGAATCTGGGTTAGATGCTCAGGCAGGCATGAGTCTGGATCTCCAGCCAGGAGTGGCCACAGGCCTGTAACCCCAGTGCTGGGGGCCAGGCAGAGAGAGGAGGTGCTCTGGACTTCACCGGCCTGACCAAAAAGCAGCAAACTCCACTTTGAGGAAAGATCTTATCTCAGGAGAATAAGACACAAAGTGACAGAGAAGCACAAACAGTGTGCTCTTCTGGCCTCTGCACATGTGCTCATGGGCAACCATTACACACGCAAACACACACATTCTATGCACACACACACATATTGCAATGTATGATGATCAAATACTCTGGAAAATAAAAATAGGTTAGACTGAATTACATCAAAACGGATGCTTCCAATGACACCAGTAAGGAAGTACTGGAGCTGGGGGAATGTCTCGTATGATCAAAATACTTGCCATTTGTAAAACACTTGTAAGCACAGGAACCTGAGCCCAAAGCCCGTGTAAGATCCAGGTGAGGTGGCCTGTGTTTGCAACCCCAGTGCTGGATTCCGGGGAGTAGATGTCTATACAGCTTGCCAGCCAGCTAGTCAAGCAGGTAATCGGTGGGCTCCGCGCAATGAAAGATCCTGCCTCAAAGAGGGTAGATGACATTCCTATGGATGACACTGAGCACACACACACACATACACGAAAGTGAAAAGACAGACAACATAATAGAAATTTTTTAATATATATCTGATTTAGAACATACCTAGAACAAAGAATTCTTACACTCTAATAATAAAGACAATTTAAATGGATAAAAATAGATAATAAAGGGGCAACAGATATGAATAGATGTTTCTTTGAAAGCAAAAGAAAGATTGAAAAGCTACACAAGTGAAGAGAGAAGTACATGAAGAGATGGCGGCACATTCTTGAGTCATCGGAGAGAAGTAAGTACTAACGCCAGGTACCATCTACTAGAATGGTTATGAACTGTTAATGAGGAACAGTTTATTCAGGCTACACCCTGAAACAAGAGGAAAAGGTCGGCTGAGCTCAGCGGGGTAGCGTTGGCAGACTGCGGGCCTCAGGGAGAGAGATGCCTGCGCTGCAGCGGTGCTGTGGGGTGGAGCAGGGTCGGTGGTGCAGGCACAGGGGTGATGCTCCGTTTGGTTGTACCATAGGTAGCAGGAGCGACAGAGGCACGCACTCTTGCCTTCTGCCCTCGGGGTGGGAAGTGTTAATTCTCGCTCTGCTGCCATCTCCATCCTTGCTTAGCGGGATGCAAATTTCCCCAGCGGCACCAAAGTACCCAGTGAGGACTCGGGGGCAGGCACCGAGCCCATTCTGCGGATGGCACTGGCCCCTTCATTCTTTTCACCACTTCAAATACACGTCTAAACAGGTTGCAGTCACGGCTTCAAGACAAACACCCTAATGTGTACGCGGCCCTCAGCAGGATTGGGATTCCTGTAAATCAGGAGCCAAGGCACACAGGAGGCAGCCGGGCTCTTCGGCATGGGTCCTCTCCCCCGGAGGCCCCACAAAAGGGCAGCTTTCACCCACAACCAGAGTCAGCAAGAAGACTAGAGGCTGGTTCTGTTTCTATCTGGCCCTCTTCACTAAGCTGGTTCTCTCTGGGGCCTCAGTTGCCCCTTCTGTAAATTGGTGGGAAATGGCTTTAGCTAAGTCAAGCAAAAGCTCCTCCGG